TCGGCTTCTCCTAATAACTCACTTATTAATCAGGGAAGTAGCATTTTCAGGGGCTAAGGTATTTCTCGTTTATTATTATATTAATTAATTAATAATGAATTTATTGATTATTAATTTTAAAAAAAATTCATTTAATTTAATTTTTTAAGTTTTTAAAAAAGTTTTTTCTTTAATTTTCATAATTATTTCAATGTAATTCAATATTATTTTATGTTAAAAAATTAATTCATTTATAAATTTTGCTTTAATATGAAAACTTTTTCTTTATCTAAATTAAATTTTCCATAATTTAATAATATATTTTACTCAATTTTTATGTGTTATACTCATGTTTTCTATGTATCCAATGTAGTATTAATTTATTATTCTTACTCTTAGATGCAAAATGTAATTATGTATGGAATCATTTATTCTATACAGCATTAATAATATGTAGAATTTATTATGATTTTTCATATGTAAATAAGAAAAATATAGAGAAATCTATAATTGAATGTACCTGTAATCTGATATAATGTTAATAAATGCATCTCTAATGTAAACATTTACTAACATTTAATGAATTTATAAACACATACACATAAACAACATATAAAACTGCAGATTATTCTATATATTTTTTATTTACACCAAAGAAATCATAATAAATAATTAGACAAAAGCTAGTATAATAGGGTAGGGAAATAATTAAATTAATTTATAATATCTATAACACTTTTTACAGATATAATTTAAATTTTAATATATAATATAATTTTTTCTTTACAGAATGAAAGTTATAACTTATTTATACGCATATAAATGATTAAAATAGACTACAATATACGTCAATTTGAGATTATTCATTAAACAAGAGAAAATAAACTTAATATAATTAATTATTATTTTAAAATAATATTTTTTTAGCTTTTTAAAATTAATTCAGAGTTATATTCAACATACGAATACATCAATTAAGAGAAATTCCTTTTAGAAATAACATTAACATGTACAAACTCTTACATATAATTTCCATTTCTGAAAATAGCAAAACTCTATATACAATTACTTAAATAAGAATTTAAAAAATAGAAATTAAAGGAATAAATAAATAAATTAAATAAAGAAGAAATTTATACTGGCAATTTATTTTTTTAGTGCTTATTAAACACCGTCTTTGACTTATTAGTGTGGTAAAATGTAATATTTAACAAGCATTAAAACACTAAATTTTAATTATAAATTCTTATTTTAATTATTAATTATTTAATTCTTTTTAAATTTTAATTTCAGGAACTGTAACTTTACAGTTTAATTATCAATTTAATTAAAATATTTATATTATTATTGTAAAAGTAGAGCCTACTTAAGAATTTAAGCTGTGTGAAGATAGGAAAAGAGTGAGAGGAGGAGAAAGAGGAGGAGAAAGAGGATAGAAGATCCCAGTAGAGTCGATAGAGTGAATGAGAAAGTATGAAAATAAAAAATGATACTTTTGAGAAAAGTTTACCTTATAGAATAAAAATAATAAGAAAAATAAAATATTAATTATTTATTATTTTATTTATTAAAAATTTATATTTAAATTTATAAAACAGAAATTACCTTTCTAAAAAATACAGAAGTACAGGTAACAACAATGAAATTAATGACGTCGCAGACATAAATTTTTAAAAAAATTATTCAATTTATATAAATAAATATTTATTATATATTCTAGAAATTATTCTAAATATCTACTTTATTAAAAAAAAAAGGAAGAAAAATCATTGACTTAATTAATTATCTAAAATTTAGAAAAATAATGTAAATGAAACCAATAATAATTTAATACCTAATAAAATAAATTTATCTCTAAATTGTTATATATAAAAGCATATTATTATTATTATTTTAAAAGGTATTATAATCTAAGAAACCCAGTAAAGCACAAATAAAGAAATATCCTTAATCAATACGAAGTCAACAAGGTTATTTGCGATTTGTATCAAAAATAACTCAAGGTTAAGAACGAAAAAAATAAGTAAAAAATCGATTTTCATCCCTGAAAGTTTACTATTACTTTCAATATACTCATTACTTTCTCCCTCTACTAATGAATGGAGAGGATTCTTAGCCTTAAGATGCTAAAAAAACGCATTAAGCAGCATAAAAAAACAATGTTTACAGTTTCTGTCTCACGTATAATCATGATTTATTCTTCTATTTTCTATCCTTAAAGGATTTCTTATTGTCATAATCTTATATTAGATGCCATTACACTTTGAAGTGCTCCTTTTGATCTTTCTTGTCATCCTTTTATAAATCCCATAAGGGATATTCTGCAGCGAAAGGGACGCCGATTTAAACAGCGTAAGAGCACGTATTCCTCCCTTTTCACTTATAAAATTTTGTAAATTAATTCATAAAAAGAATCCAGAAAAAAAAAAAATATTTTTCTAGAAGAAAATCTCACCTTAATCTTATAAAATTTCTAATATGATTATTTTACCTCCTAGAATTATCTTAATTAATTTTTAAAGTAGAATTCGAGAAGAATTTTTAAAATAATTGTTAAAAAGTAAATAAAATGTTTATAAAAGTCGAAACTCTTAAATAAAAAATAAAATAGAAAATTAAAATGAGTTTATAAAATGGAGTAAATTTATTTGTTGACAGTCAATGATAAATAAATAAAATTTTCAAAATTTAAATAATAATTAAACAATTTATNCTCATTTATTCATTCATTAGTTTAATTGTACATTTAAAACAAGGTACAAAGTCCTGCCCCGCAGTGAGCATTACAGGAGCATATCCGTTACATAGTTCCACCGAGTTACAGTATGCACTAATGAACAAAGCAAAGTGAAAATAAAAATAGAAAATAAAAAAAATAATAATAATAAAAAAATTAAAATAAAATGAAATAAAGCTGGCAACGTGAAAATATCGATTTATCAAACTTAATTATCCTTTTCGTTACCATGGTGCTAATGCTGCCATCTATCGATGGCGTACGTAATTAAACTGCGTAATTTTAATTTAAAATTTAAAAAATTATACTTAAAATCTTATAAATTTACTGTTTTGTAACTTTAAAAAAGTTTACTTTTTACTTTTTCTACTTCTTTACTCCAACCTGTTGAGAAAAATCGATACGAAAACAATGTAAACTTATCGAAGATATATATTTACGATTGGAGTTTAAGTTAAATATTATAAAATTAAAAAATAAATTAATTTTAATAACGTATAAAATATATTAATTAATTAAGGATATAAATTGTTTAATTAAAAAAAGTAATAAGTTAAATTAAAGTTAAAATGATCGATTTTAATAAAATTAATTTTAAAATAATTAAAAACTTAGTTCGCTCAATTAAACGTAGATGGCAGTAGCGGCTATATTCCGCATTAATTAAATTGACGTCATCGACGTCATCGCCGTGATCCAATGAGATTCATCAGCAAGCTGCTAATGCAGGAAATGGTTAGGAATGTAAATTTTCCAACGTAATATTGGAAATTTCTGGAAAATTTTGGCTAATTTTCTGAAGATTTCTATAAAATATTATGCTTAAAATCTTTCAAATTAAAAATTAATTGCATATTTTATATAATTATGGCATTTATTTAACTAATCTCCATCATTAGAAAGGTTCTAAAATGCTGCTTAAATATACAGTTATTATGTTTATTTCTTTATATAAAAAATTGTAGACGAAAATTTAATGTTTGGTGAAGAAAATTTAATATTTTTCACATGTTTTAAAGCAAAAATAAATGGAGTTTTTCAATCACTAAATGTGTCATATGTATGTAATTATTGGATTTTTTTGCGCTTTTAATGATCAAAAAAGCAAGTTTTTTGCTCATCAATAACAGGCCAAGCGATTTTTCTTCATCAGCAACGTCAAATGACGTGATTTTTATCTGTAACAATAGTCATTGATTGGAAATTTCTTCATTAACATTGCCTCAAGAGAGTGATTTTCTCCGTTGATGACACTCAAAGGACATATTTTTCTTCATTAACGGAGCAAAACTTTTGATTTTTTAAAATTAATTTTAATTAAATAATGATAGTTTTTCACATTATAATTAATTATAATTAACTGTTTTCCTTATTATAGAGCTGGGGTAGTTGTGACTTTTTTTTTCGTAATTTCAAGCGCGCACTTCTTTAGTGGAAGAGTATTGATTTCCGTTATAATTACCGGAGAAATTTAATGATTTTATGNCGTTATCGAAGGATTTTAATGCTGTTATAGTAACAAAAGTAATGGTAATTTTTCATTTAAATTCCGATCACTTTTAATGGATTTAGTAACGTTTAAATACAGTAAAAAAATGTTACTGTAATTTCTTTACTGTTACATTAACTAAACATCAGCATTATTTATATTGATTTTAATGAGTTTAATTATGTTTAAATACTGTTAATGTAGTAAAAAAATATTACTGTAATAGCTGTTACAGTAACATGAAATTCAGCCAAAATTTTACGGATTTTAATTGGTTTAATTACGTTTAAATGATGTTACTGTTGTAAAAAAAAATTATTATTACTGTTACAGTAAAGCTAGATTTATATTGATTTTAATGAGTTTAATTATATTTAAATGCTGTTAATATAGTAAAAATATTACTGTAATTGCTTTAATATTATACAGTAAAAAATGATAAATATCGTATAAAAAATCAGCTGTGCTCTTGCATCAACACAAAACATATGATTGGAAGTAGAGATGGAAGAAGCATGGAGTTGGAAGATGTTGGAATTAATTTGCAAATGTTAAACTTGGGATAAAACTGATCAAACACAATATGGCGTAGATTCTACGCAGTTTCATTAGCACAGCAGCCATGTTTGTTTCATCAGCGCTTAAAACAAGATTATCGATCGATCTCAACAACAACCCCTAACAGAAATTAACTTCCTCATCTCCAACCTACCACCATTATAAATCGTTACGCTTGCAATTTAGAAAATTCCGTATTTCTAGACGTAAAAATTACGTAAAGACAATACTACTTACCTACTGCAACAAACTTTTGTACGTTTTTTCTTCTCTTTTTCCCTCTTGTTACTTGATGTAATTTGGATTGATGTGCATGCTGTTCCTTGCAGGAAAGCGGCTATCTCCGGATAGCATCTTCATTCTTCTGTTACTCGTTACTGTTCTGTTTAATGGAGTCCTTCTTGCACCATGCTTCATGCTTATCCCTAAAGATGCTCTTTGATACTTCGTAACGTCGTGGCACTCTGTAGTGTCGTCCGGAATCTTGTAACCGCAGCAGCAGAACGTCGTGTGCCTTCCGTACCATACCAACGCCATGTCACCCTGGAAAGAGGCAGCAACATCACGTGACGAGGGAGGCATGCCGCGAAGCATTCGATCGGAGATAATGTGTTTTGGACGAATTAGCTGTTTGCAGTAATAGAGTGCAGAGTTTTGGGATGCTGGAAAAATGCTGTTTATGGTACATTCATGCATATATAATGCGCACTTGTTTCGCTCTTAAACACGTTAATAATAATATAAATAAACTTCGAAAAGTTATGAACATATAGAAAAAATAATAATAACAATATAAATAACCCTGGTTTATATTATTATTATTTGTTATTTTTCTTTACCTTCAACTTAAAATTAATGTGAAAAATATCATCTAATGAGTTTAGTCTGTGGTGCCATTTTTAAATTGGGATTTTTTTAAAAAATATTTTAAGTATATTTTACTTAAAATATTAGTGATTATTACGGGTTAATGACTGGATCTCTCATTAAAATATTTTTCTGTGTCGACAGTCATAAGTGATGCCCTCGGGTGACTAAAAATTGTGCCATTGTGGTGACCTGTTAAACGATTAAAAGGCCCTCGAGACGTGACGGGGGTGGAGTGCTTTTAAGGATTGAAAGGAGGGAATTTATCATAAACATCGTGGCAATACTCCCCCTCTATAAAACTTACGATGACGTACCTTTTAAAAAAATCCCTATAGAGGGAAGTTTCCCTGTTAGAATCGTAGTAATTTGAGAATCCTTTAATGAAGTAGAGGATCAGGATGGATAAGGGAAAGGTTTTTAATTAATTAATAAGGTAGATTCTTGAATACGTTCGAAACAGATTAACACCGTCATCTCATAAAAAATATCGTATTGACCTTCTAAACGATTAAAGGGCCTTCGAGACTTGATGGGGTGGAGTGCTTTTAAGGGTTGAGACGAGGAAACTTGTCATAAATATTGTGGCAATAGCTGCGATGACACCCCCCTCTTTAAAGAATCCCTATAGAGGGAAGTTACCCTAAATTTTAACAGGGAATAATAATGGAGAATCTCAATTAAGAGAAGGGTTTAAGGAAAAAAGTTATTGTCTATATTGATCTGTTAAATGATTAAAAGGATAGGGATGGGGTGTTATTAAAGGTTTAAGAGTAGGAATTTAATACGTCATAAAAGTCCTTATAATGGCACCCCCTTTTAAAAATCCCTATAGAGGGAAACTTTTTTTTATAATCAAAATTCATCAATGAAAAGGGGGATGAGTATAGATAAAGGGGAGGAGTGATTTTAAATTAATTAATAAAGATGGAAAAACACTTAAATCATGGAATAAATTCCAATCAAATTAGCACTATTGTCATTCAAAAATTGTTTTAGTTAAACAGTTTTCGATCAATTTTAATCAGAAAATGGACGGTTGGTGCTGAATAAATACTTTACAATTCCCTTAACTACATCTGAATAATTAAATACAATAACGTATCTGCGCAGCTATCTGCATCAAGACAAGAGGAGAAGCATCGGATCGATGAGGATGAGCCGAGAATGCTGCACAACTGGTGGTCCCTATCAGCATTCTCTCCCCTTTATTAAAGTGTTTTCCATTTAAATATACGTTTTGATCTGTCCCAAAGCTAATAGCGTAACAATTTTACTACTAGAATAATAAATATCAAGTGAAATTTGTTATGCACCTAAGCTGTTATAAATCCAAGTATTTACCTCGCAGACAGGATGTTGAAGAGGTGGAAAAAAAAAGAAGAAGAAGAAGAGCAGGAGGAGGAGGAGGAGGAGGAGGAGGAGAGAAAAAATTAAAGGAAAAAATGAGTTTAGCCTGGGATAAACTCATCTCCTCTCTTGTGTTTGTGCTACTACAGCTACAAATTGATGTTTTTAGCTAGCAAATAATTAATTAGAGTCGCGCCGGAAAACCGTCTGTCGCATCAATAATTTTACTACTGTAATAGTATAATTAAAGGAGCATGAAACACGTAATTGTTTTACAGTAATAACTGATTTATAACGTTACTTAATCAGTACACAGCACCGTAAAAAATAAAAATATATAATAATATACATAAAAGAATTCTAGATTTATTATGCTATTATAGGTACAAACTAAATCATTTTCGAAGTAGTAATTATTAATGATTTATCCCAACTTTCTAAATAATTAAATATGATTTACGATAATAATTAAATCAACTGCTTTATATTATTTACTGTTACGTTATCGAAGGATTTTAATGCTGTTATAGTAACAAAAGTAATGGTAATTTTTCATTTAAATTCCGATCACTTTTAATGGATTTAGTAACGTTTAAATACAGTAAAAAAATGTTACTGTAATTTCTTTACTGTTACATTAACTAAACATCAGCATTATTTATATTGATTTTAATGAGTTTAATTATGTTTAAATACTGTTAATGTAGTAAAAAAATATTACTGTAATAGCTGTTACAGTAACATGAAATTCAGCCAAAATTTTACGGATTTTAATTGGTTTAATTACGTTTAAATGATGTTACTGTTGTAAAAAAAAATTATTATTACTGTTACAGTAAAGCTAGATTTATATTGATTTTAATGAGTTTAATTATATTTAAATGCTGTTAATATAGTAAAAATATTACTGTAATTGCTTTAATATTATACAGTAACATAAAGATCAGCAGGAATTTTATGGATTTTATCCACAGTCCCGAGGTGAAAATTATTTTCCTGATTCTTCGATCGAAAGAATTTTGTTTACGCTTCAGATGAATTTTATGATGCTATTATAGATATAAAATGAATAATTTAATAAATTAATTCTGCTCCATATGAAGCCAGTAACATAATTTAATCCTGAGATAGCAAACATTAGACGAATGAAGTATTTAAATTAATGTTTCTTCTACTTAATTCTTCTTCCTTTATTTATTTATTTTACCTTTTTTTTTCTCCTAGAAAAATTACCGTAAAAATTGTAATTAATTTTATTAAATAAGCTTTACTATTACAGTAATAAAGCTACTATTAAATTTAAGCTTTGGTGTATGATGCTGATAATGCTTTTATACTATTACTCTATGGAAATTTATGATCCTGTTTGGTTATAACTGAACTGGAAATTACTAATAATACTACTATAACAAATTACGGTAATAAAACCTGTATTAATAACCAAGAAAACAACTACATTATTTTCTCATTATATGCTGTATTTAACTCATAATTACTGCTTGTGTAGGGCTTTGTTATGAGGCCTCGAGTTATGAATCTATACCCCTTAAGGCCTCGCATTTTTTAATGTATCATTAATTGTTAAAGGGGAAGGAACTCCGTCGAATGTTTACATTATTAAATTATGTTACTGTAGTATTTAGCGTAACATACTACACACGTATTATAGTAACATACCATTATATTGAGTTACTACGTAAGTATGTTACTATAGTAACATATATATTTGCATTAGGTTACTATATTAAAGTATTATATGTGTATTATAATGTGTGTTATGTTACTGTAGGGGCATACTGCTATAACTTTTTTTATTGTTAAGCATATTTATAAGGTATTATAACACGTTTTCTTATATATTTGTTATTACAGAAGCATGTTATATGGTGTTATACGTTATAATATAACCGTTATAACAGAAATTATACAGCAGCAGTGGTGTAACTACATTAACAGTAATTAATTATTCACGGTTATAACCGTTATATAAAGCGATTATAATACACCTACACAGACTTTACATGTACGTAAACGAAAAAATTATACAGTTTAATGGAGTTTTAAAGCACATTTTTACAAGGAATAAGCGTTAAAATTTAATCCTCATCACATAATTTTGCGGTAATTTTACAGCAACAAATTCAATGTTCCTAAACTAGAATGCAACCGATCGATAACAAGGGAATGAAGACGTCATTTACTGAGGGGTAATTGATGTAGTTGTTCACAGATGGCATTAGCGAATGTTTGCTTAATCTTTAATTTCTTTATTAATCACGTGATTCGCTATAGATTCGTTGCCATCCCCCTTCTCTCTCTCTCTTGTCTTTTAGTTTGTCTAATCTTTAAGCTAAAAATATTGCTTTGTATAGTGGAACGATATCATTAATAAATAATCATACTTCCCCTGTTTCTTCTTCATTTTCTTCTATCTCCTCTTCTTCTTTTGCTGCTATACTTCCATTTATTTTCATATCTGTTTAGTATATCGTCCATTCTAGTAATGTGTTGTATGAAGGTTTCTACCATAAAACATCCCCCACTTCTTCCAACCTGTACTTTGAATATCGTTTAATCATTCGAAGATATCTTCTTAAAAGCTTATTTTCTTTATAAAAATAATATAGTTTCCTTGTACTTTTTTCCCTCCCCATTCAACTTAGTTTCCTCATTAGTTTCCTCATCTATTTTTGTAGCGTAATGCTTAACGCATTACCCTACAAAAATAGATAACTACGTGGAAAGTAAGTGACTTTTCTCAGGTTTAATACGGATTTTTTTTTTATTGTCGTACACCAGTATGATAGAGGACCTCGTGTAGGGCCTCTCTTTTTGGGAACTTCAAACACACAAGATCGATAGTCAGACTTACTCCAGTATAAGTTGTAAAAGAATTATGCAGTGTTTTACGTTATATAAACGTATACATAACGGGCCTTTCAAGTCTACTCTTATCTAGGGCCTTATTTTGCCGTTTTCTTAACCTTTAGTGACGATTTTTGTATAGTATTTCTTGTATTTCTTGTATATTACAATATTAAATAAATTGTCATAGAATGTGTCAATTACATAGGGGCCTCGAAAGCCCAGATTTGACTAGGGCCTCGTTGCCAATTTCTGTAAATGTAAACTAAGTAAATGACTTTCCACATTTTTTTTTTCTATTTGATTAGGCCTACTGTGCAGAAGCGGAAGTCATCATTATAACAACTCGAGGTTTTGTCTAAGGCCTTGTTTGAGGCCTTTTTTATGGTCTTCAAACTTGTACAAATCTGAAATGCTACTCGGTTTTATTACAGTATACCCTGTAAATCAAGTAATACGTGACAGGGCCTCTCAGATTTTAAAAATTAA